TATCTTTATTTTCCACCGTATCTCTCATTCTATATTACCTAAAATAAAATCAATCGATAATTAAAAAAAATAATTAAAAAATAAATCTTTAACAAAGGTAAAGTACGGGATAAATCCTATCCATTGAATCATAATCGTCATTAGTTATGCATGATGTTATAATTTAAAGCAGTAGCCAAAATTTGTAGCATCGTTTTAATTATTCTGCCGACAGAAATTTAATATATATAAATCTTTAATTCTTTGTCCTCTCGAGTTCCTTTTCACCAGCATCACATTTGATTTCTTGTCGTGCCATGTTATCACTCGATGTATTATTTTTTTCGTCCACAATTATTTGGATTATCAATTTAAATAGTTATTTGGATTATCAATTTAAATAGTTAAGAAATAATTAATTTTTTTCGATTTTATTGTTGATTAATATAATTCAATTAAAAAGTTATATAAATTTTTGATATACTAAAGTTATATTAATCAAATTACGTCTTATATTAATTTTTTTTTTTAAAAATGTGTATGATTTTACCCTGACAAACAATTATAAATGGAAAGAGTATTAGTTTATAATATATATATATTGAATAAAATGATATATTTTGCATAGTTTATAAGTAAAATTTGTAAAGACTAAGATATATACAGATTTAATCTCTATCTTAAAATTTTATCAAATAAATAATTAGATAACATTATAATAAATACCAAAATTGTTTATATATTTTTCTTGCGACTTATAAAATTACGCGAGATATATTACGATTAGACAGGGGCGTAAAAGTAATTTGGGAGTAGTTGTAGACTTGAAGTGTAGTTGGATAGACAATTAAATGGTTTTTAATGAACATTAATTACTATCATAAGCTTTAATTTGATAGTACTTTATTAGTAGTTGAAAGCAATTTAATTATTTGAGAAAAAATCGCGTATAATGTGTGTGGCCGACACCTCTCTTGATTTGGATCGATCACGTTTGATGGGCCCTCCATAAAAGTGGGGCCCATTAGACACGTTCAAACAGTTCACACCACCTCGCCATTAAAGCCCAAAAAAAATATCTTCACTATTTATTATCCACTCGTTAATTATTAGTTTCGTTTCTAAATAGAAAAATTGTATAATAGCAAATTAATAATTTAAAATAAATAAAGTAGCTGGAGTTTAATTTAATTGTGCTCCCTAGCAAATGTTTACAAAAATTGTCAGGTGTCTCTCTCTTAAATATCTCGTTCGCTACTCTCCTCCAATCTCTCGCTCGCTTCTTTACTTTTTATACAAACACAAGTGTATAAAAATTGTTTCTAATTGTATAAAGCAGAGAAAATTGTATAAATACATATATTTTTGTTCCCCTCTCTCCCCTCTTCAAGATCTCGCTCGCCACTCTCCCAAATCTTGCTTGCCACCCTCGCCTTTCTCACTTATACAAATAGAAGCGAAATGTATAAATTGAGTTCTGTTTGTATAAAGCGTGAGAAAATTGTATATAACATGCAAGTACATATACTTTCGGCCTATATACTTATAATTATACAATAAAAGTACTCTCCTGCTCGGTTTCTTTTGCCTTTCTCTCTTTCTCGTTTTATACAATTCTTAGATTGTATCAAATTTCTCTGTTTCTCGTTTTATACAATTCGATTCAATTGTATATTCTTTGTCAATTTTTTTTATCTTTTTCTCTTTCTCATTTTATACAAATTCAAATTGTATATTATCGTTCTATACACTTATAATAATACAATTCGTTTTATACACTTCGTTTTTATACAGTTCTCTGCCCAAGTGTCTTTCTCTTTCTTATTTTATACACTTCTTTTTATACAATTTGCTTCAACTGTATATGTATAGCGAATTATACAACTTCTATGTTTGCTATGGAGCGCAATTGTGCAAACTTTGTTATAGCATACAAATATAAATTTTTTATTTGCTATATGTGAAAGTTGTCCTTTCTAAATTAGTAACAGTCTTAAAAATACTTTGATACTTAATTAGGATATACTCTTCGATTTACTATACGATATAACAAATGATTTCAAATTTTTATAAAAACATGAAACTCTCAATAATCCCTAAACTTGATGAAAATTATAGAATTGCGTGTGAAAATTATAGAATTGCGTGTTTACTCATAATAAAAGATTCATCGTGCATTAAATTTAATTAATCAAGTAAAATGTTTTTCTAAAGCTACTAATAATTAAAAATAAAATTAATACTTCCTCTGTCTCATTTTATGTGTTATTTTTTATTTTTTTGAGAACATTTGCATATGAAATTTTTGAATATTTTAAAATAAAATTTATATATTTATAAACTACGTAAAAAAAATTATAAGTCACTATAATTGATAATTTAAAATATTAAAATAAAAAAAATATTAAAATAATCTATAAAAAATTTAAAATAAAAAATAAACTTATTTAAATATTAAAATACAAAAAATATCAAATAACTTTTAGAAAACTTTCGAATCAATCAGAACAAATGAGGTACGTGCCAGAAGAGACTCTATATATACAGCCTCCTTACTATTCAAATCATATCTCTCATATACACAATTCAATCTTCTTCTTCACAAAAAAATCATGAATTTTCTGTCATCGTTGGCTAAGAGCGCCGGAGCCGGCGACGATTCCCAAAAAGCCGGCGAGGAATCAGGTTCGACAACAGAGCTTTTCGCCAGTGCTAAAGTGTTAGCAGATGCTGCTCAGAGTCAATTCAACAAAGATTCCGAAAAAATCGATAACAAAAAAGTGGCTGAAGCAGCAGCCGATGTGCTCGACGCTGCACAGAAATACGGAAAATTAGACGAAACTCAAGGAATTGGACAGTACGTTGAGAAGGCCCAAACTTATCTCCACCAGTACGGTGGCGATAAGGCTCCGGCCGCCGCACCGGTTGCTGAAGAAGCAAAAGCACCAGCGCCTGCATCGGAATCGGATCCGGCGCCGGAGCCGGTTGTTGAAGGAGATAAGGAGGAGGAAAAAAAGAGTGAAGGAGCTGATTATCTTAAGATGGCTGGTGATTTCTTAAGCAAGAAGTAATTAGAGTTTAATTAACTTTTTTTAAAATTATGGCTGATGTTATATTTCAGTTTTTTTTTTCTTAATTTGCCACTGTTCACTGCCGGCGCCGGCGCCGGAGTTGGGTTTATGTAATATGTATGTAAGTTGTGTGTATTTCAGTGAAATTTGTGTTTGTTTGAATTTATTAGTGTTATCTTCGTTGCTTCTAGGAAATAAGTCAAGAACAAAGATTAATCTTATTTTTGAGAGAAAAATATCTCATATATATTATGCGTTTTGATTGAAAATGTTATGACTATAAAAAAATTATTACTTATATTTAGTGTATTTTAAGATATGTACATGGATATAAAAGATATTGTATAATTATAAATTGAATAAATATATATGAAAATATATATACTTTTAAAATATACTACTCTCTCTATCTTATTTTTTCGACATTTTTCGCATTTCGAAATTTAAACAAATTTATTTTTGATCGTATGTTTTTCACATATCGTTTTAACATTTTGAATTATCAATTACTATGACTTATAGTACTCTTTATGTAGTTTATAAATATATAAATTTATTTCGAAAATTTAAATATTTCATTCATAAATATCCGATTAAAAATTAAATTATTTGACTTTCAAAAAATAAAAAAAATCACAACACAAAAAATATATTAATTAATAGCAAGATAAAAGTTTATTATAAAATTTAATTTTAACTAAAATTAAAATATTCTTCTTTATTTTTAATAAACTTTCGACCCACGTAATATTATACTCTTGAATAATAAAAAGTGATCACCTAAACATATGTAGGAGGCTCTGTACCATCATCAAGCTAAATATTTGAACAAGTTAGTCATAAGATAAATTTTAACTATTTATTGATTGTTTATCATTATTTATTTTATTTAAGCTTATTCTTTCATCTATATTTGTCTTTCCTCGATCCTATTGTATTACATCTAATTCTCACATATTTTATTGGAGTATTTATATATCTTTCTTTTTATACGTTAAAATCATTTTAATTTTTTTCTTTTAATTTTACTCACTATAAATATTACTTATACATATTTTCATTTCTAAATTGCTTCTAATATATCTATACATCCATCTCAATATTCTTTTATCTTTTAAATAGAAAAGGTTTTATTTAATTCTTTTTTATACTATAAAAACGATTTAATCATCACTCTATATATATCGTTATCTCTCTGTATTATAATTAAATTAAATATGTTTACAAATCAATTATTCATCTACATAACATATTTGAACTAGTTTAAATTACATCTCAAATATTTATACACCCTTTTTATCTTAAAAAAGGGAATAAAATTATAAATTTTTTAATCTAATTTTATCTAAAATAATATATTAATAATAACAAAAGCAAAAATTAGCCTTGAAAATAATGATTTATCATTGGAAAGCTTTCCATAAAAATACTGTTTGGTTTATTTATAGAAAGTGTTAGGCAGCGACTTAAACACGTTCTTTCTATATTAGCCCTTCAATTAAACTTTCTATTTTCTTTTTTCTTGGTCTATTTTTATACAAGTCTTCTAATCGTACTTCTTAGGTCATAATTTACTTAATATAATTTAATTATATAAAAAAAATTTAACACAAATTTAAATTTAATTAAATTTTAATATAAATACGAAATACTAAGTGAGAAATAAAAGAAATATAATTTAATTTTCTATAAAATTTAAGAAAGAAATGAAAATATATTATTGACTAACGTTTCAATGTATACTAATTAATATTAATTGTGAGATAATCCATTTTTTATTCTTTTTATTTGAGGAAGGGATATTAGTGATATGCGGAAAATAATCGTTGTTCACTTGTATAAATTTTACTCTACACCTATAAAATTACGAAACTTTTGTGTAACTTCTCATTTTTTCAGTAAAAATCTCTAAAGCTCTCATATAAATAATTCACATTCACCAATTTTATTTATTTGAATCACATTTTAATTGCTTCAATTTGTAATAATACTATACTAATTTTCTTATTAACTATCTAAAACAAAAAAAAAATTATGGATGCTCTTTTTGCTAAAGGAAAAGAATTTCTTAATTCCAAAGATAAAGATGATGAAAAAGAAACTCCCAATCGCAGTGAAAGAACAAAACATCATGATGACGTGGATGATTCCGATGACCACCCACAAAGAAAAACTGCCGGCAAGTCTGGCGGCGGCGGCGGTCGAGGTGGTGGCTGGTCGGACAGCGAAGGTGACGACGAGAGGCCCGCTGGCGCCGGACGTGGTGGCGGTAAGGCGGCGGCAGGCACCGGTGCTCAAAATCCAAATGAGCACAAACAGCCAACAACCTCTGAGCTAATGGCCAGCGCGAAGTTGGTCGCTGCAGCTGCACAATCCCAATTAGGCGGCGGCGGCGAGGGTAAGCCAAAAGAAGAATTGGACACCGGAAAGCTTGCCGGAGCCGCCGCCGACATCCTTGCAGCCGCTTCCCATTACGGCAAACTAGGAGATGATGGAATCGGTAAGTACATCGGACAAGCCGAGGATTATCTTCATGGATACGAGCTTAAGAATTCAAAACCCAACAAATCTGGTAGTGGTGCTGGTGCTGATGCTGAATCTGGTAGTGGTACTGGTGCTGCATCCAAAAAGAGCACTTCTAGTAATGCGGAGCACAAGAACTCATCGGAGTCTCACCCACGTGGCAATACAAGAGATGATGATGATCATGATGATGAGCGTAGAGAGCACGCCACGAAAGAGAAGAAGATGGCATCAAAGAAACCATCCGGTGACAATCAAAGTCATGATCGTGAGGAAGGTGAGTATGTATATTTATGTCATTGTTATATTAAAAGCTTACTCCCTTTGTCCGAAATTATTTATACTGTTGCGCTTATCGAAAGTCAATCTGCCTAATTTTCAAAGCTAGATTACATCAATTTGATATTTTAAACAAAAAAATTAGATATTCTAAAATTAGATGAAAAATACAATTATTTGCATATTAATATGATGAAAAATTAATCAAAATTTTTATAGTTTAACTTTAAAAATAGAAACCACGAAAGAGAAAGTTGTTACAGATGATATGGTTACCATATATATATTTTTGATGATATCATGTTACAGTAGGTAGAGGGATGCCTAAGAAACAAGTTGGTGATGATCATTCCGCAGATGAGCACACGATGAAAGGTAAAGAAATGCCTCAGAAACAATCCGGTGGTCGTGAACGTTCCAAAGAAGACGATGATGATCCGAGATCTGGACGTGGTGAAAGTGAAGGAATAGCGAAGAAAAAACCTGTTGGGCATGGCCATGATGAAGATGATAGTCGCTCTGGAGGGGGTTATGGTGAATACATAAAAAAAGCACAAGGATTTCTCAATAAAAAGTCCGACGGTGGTAATGGAAGTCCAAAGGCCGATGGAGATTCCGGAGGTGGGGTCATGAAAATGGCTCAAGGTTTGTTTAAGAAAGATTCAGACGACCGTAGCCCCAACAAACACGACGAAGATGGGAACAAAACAGATTATCTCAAGATGGCCGGAAGTTTTTTCAAGTAGAGATTATACTGGATACGTTATTATTGTTATCGTAATAATAAAAAAGAAGTATAGACTAATTGTAACATAGAATATCATGATCTGTTTTGATCAATTCTTTTGTTTTCATTTCTTTGCTAAAGTTTGAGTTTTAGCTATAGTTTGATTTGAATTGTAATAATGGTAACATGTACAGTGTGGCTATCAGTTGCCATGCAAATACTATTAATGTACTTGTCAAGTAGTAGAATATATATAATTTTTATTTGATTCAAATTCTTTTTTGCTATAAAAACTTTAAAAGTAACGTGCCTTATTTTTTCTTATTTTTATTGTTCTAATTAATTTGACATAGTTTTTTTTTAAAAAAAATAAATATATTAATAATATATTATAATATATCACTCTTTAAATATAATTAATTTAATAATGTCTTAGAAAAATTATTTTACGGTCATGTTAGTGGGTGGTATTCATCATTTTGCATTTCTAATGAAGTTGTCGAGAAAGACGAGCAACTTCAATATAAATATTATATAATAACGTATATAAATAAATGTACATCATTGATACATATTTATGCGTTACTAGATTTTGAAAACGTGCGTTGCACGTTTATCCCTTGTAATTATTACAAAATGTATATATGCTTAAAAAATTAAATTTCAGAATAGAAAATATATTTGTATTGCACGTTACTTAGTATAAATATTCGTAAATTATTTAAATACAGTTACAAAATGTATAAATAGTTATTCATAAAATTAAGTAATCAAAAGAGAAAAAGTGTAACACCAAATTAGCTAATGAATTCGAAAATAAAATGAAATAGAGTAGACCAAAAACAATAAAATAGCTAATGAATTCTAAAACTTTTAAATAACAAAAAATAAAGAGAGAAATAGTTTTAGTTTATAAGAATAGAGGAACTTCTTCAACAACTAACAAAAGTATAAACAGATTTATCTCTTTTTTATTGCATATGTGATGAATAATTACATTCATCAACAATTATCCATCAATAATTATACATTAGAATAACAAAGCGTATGCATCAACAAAAAGTAATTGTGTTGAACAATGTGTTACATTCACCAATAATCATTCATCAACAGTTATACATCAGAATAACTAAATGTATACATTAATATAATGTGATTTTGAAGATAATTTTTTGGTATTATAGTTACAAGTTTGGAATTGTAAAAGTCATTTAAAAATTGATGATATACATAACGTCTATGAGAATTAGATTGTTTAAAGTTGGAAATATGTAAAGTTTCTTACTAAAATCTAAATATGTGCCATATTAAGATGTATGGTAATTCAAAGGACATTTTTGTTCTTTAATGTTAAAGGATATTCGAATATAATTTACTGTCTTTTGTTGTTACGAAACACTTCATCTACCGAACTCTATTTTAGAATAAAAAACAAATTAAACATTTCTTTAATTAATCCTACCTAGAAACATAATGGAAATACCACATAAGTATTATTTAAGTAATATTTTATTAATTATTTCTCTAATAATATTTAAATAAGTAAATGAGTAGAATCATAATCCTATTTTAAAGTTAAGATCTTCTCATTTATAATAAAAATAATAATAATTTCTGGATTAGCCCTCCGCTCGTCTGCCTATATCAGTCAATACACGTTCTTTTAAAAAAGGTATAAAGATTATTAATTATGTTTAAAAATTTAAAGGAGTATATACTCCTTAAAATGAGTATAAAGAATCTATGAGATTTTTTATCCAAATATTTTTTTTCTAGATAGAATAAATAAAATAATAAGTTCTAAATTTAATCAATAAAAACATAAAGTTGCAGAATATAAAGTTGTTTCTCGTGTTTTGTAGCTGTAGCTTGTATAGACTTTTTGTAATTGATAGGAGTGTAGATAGTTATCATCTATTTGTTTTGTATTGAACACTATTGGATGAATAGAGTGCATCGTTCACCAAAAAAAGACAGATATTCAACCAAGCATAACATACATAAAATAAAAGTTAGAAACCCCAATATTCAATTATAACTAAAGAGAAACATTATATATTCTTATTGTCAGATTGACCGTAGTGAATTTAAGGATTTCAAAGAATTCTTAGAAATGATCAACAATTATTTAAAGAAGCCAGATTGAAAAGATAAATAGACTTCCCCTTGTTCAATTATTTTTTAGAGGTTGCACGATAATATAACAAAGCACTCCCAACACCGAATCATCTTGATCTCTTACACGATTAGCTAATTTTATGCCACTCACCCAAAAAATTCTTGAGTCCTCAATATGAGTAGAATTTCATCTGCACGCATCCCAATCATGGTTTAACTCAAGTCTTAATACTAAAACACCAGCAAAAAGTCCAAGTCATTTTAACACAAAACAATGGAAGGAAAAAAAAAGGCTAATTAAAAAAGGAGAAAAACAGAAGTCTTCAAAGTACAAATTTCTTTCTTATAACCCAAGTGTGCTTCCAGAAGAATGAATCCTAAAACTGAAATAGTACAAATTAACACAGAATTTGAGCTCGATGTCGATGAATCACCCATGCTATTCATTTATTATGAGTTGGCATTCATATTGTCTGAACAGGCGATTCCATAACCTATAGTATAAGCTCATCTACTGATAATTCTTAGCGACAGTTTATTAATCTACCCCAACACCTCACAGCAAAGAGAGATTAGCCACATGCCAATCCTCCCAAAACTTCAACTTTTACTGCCTATATCTCTACCCTCTTACAGCACTCTTTCCTTGATACATCAATATCCAACTCGGCTTGATACATCAATATCCAACTCGGCTGCAATTGCTGCTTTGAGATTAGAAAACGAAATTGAATCTCCAACAACGATTTCATCAATTTTGTAACTTTCATACTGCAATTCGTTTACCCAAATTCCGGAATGTCTCATCAAAATCGAAGTATTCATCTTGAAAAATCCACTGTAACAACAATAAAATTAATGTAGTTCGAAATTTAACAGATTGTTCATAAAAAATATTTTCAAAATAGATGATATAATCTTTGATTTTCAAAATTTGAAATTAATATCCAATTACGTGCTGATTTTATGGTGATTAATGATCTGTTACCTTAAATTAAGCTGTTTTAGTAACAACATTAATTGTACCGTTTTTTCCCCATTTTTTTTCTCAACAATTTAAACTTACCATGTATCATTTACCATGTATCACTAGAGTCTAAAGTATCACAGAACAACAAATTTAAGGGATTTTTTGTAAATACTAAATTTGTCGGGACAGAATGTAATTATTGAATTACACTATGGGATTCCTTAAATTTTTACTTTGTTTTACCTCATGAATGTTGAGCAGACTTTTTGTCCAACTAAAAAATTCTCTAGAATTATTTACCACCTGTTACGTTAAAAATATAATTTTTCGATGAAAAGAATGAAACAAAACATGTAATATTAATTCTATCTATATACATATATGTCTAAAATTTATTGATCAAAAGAAACATGAAAAAATTAAAGAAGAATTTTGTGACATAAATCAATTCACATGCTATTTTCATGACAAGACATCAAAATAATGTATTTTGTTGGAAAAATCATGTATATAATTTTATCAATGGAAGTCTTCAAATTCTTTAACTTAAGACTAAATAAGAGATATTTTGAAATGTTTGAACTTCATTTATTTGAATGACTATTTATCTTTCATTATATTTTTATTACTTTAATGTTTATTATCTAATTATTTATTAAAAATACTTTTACATTTTAAAAAATAGCAAAAATATTTAAGTGAAGAATAAAATGGTAATTCAACTTTGAGGTTAGAAGCTTCCCACTTATAATAATATATGATATATACATGATTATACATTACTTATGCAATATTTACATAGACATACAACCATTTAAATGAAAAGAATTTATACCAAGTAACCAACCCAACCATAAAAATGTCATGCAATTGAAAACTCTAACAATCCGTGAATAAATACTTTATCAGTTTATTTATAGAATTTAGTATTGAAAATATATTTGTCTACGACCTCATAATTCATTTTTCTATCTTAAGAAAGTTCAAGCAAGACTAAAAAGTTCTTTTTCCATTTTTAAATATCACATCATCATATGCTTATCGCATCATAAGATGATCGTGACATGATAAATGAATGATAAAAATATCATCTATTTATAATATAAAGATGTGACGAAAAGATATTTTCTAATCCTCTTAAGGCCTTATTTGTTTTTATTGAGATTAAGAGATCTGAATAATAACATTTGCATTAAGATTCAGATGTTTTGATCTGAATACACATCTGAATTATTAAGATGTGGTCTCTGATTTAAATCTGAACACTAAATAATTAATGCCTTTTGTTTTCAATATTTGAATGTGCATGTGAAATAAACATTAAATTAATAAAATATCATAAAAATTTCAGTTTTATCACTTTTGATTAAAAGTTTTTTTAAAAGCTTTAATAATCATGATTTGGAGTACAATCTTTTTCATTCAAAAACATTGATAAACAACAATACACTAACAATGTTCTTGAGACTACCAATATAAGAAAATTATTAATATAAAAAAAACTTGAAAGTATTTATCAAAACATACCAATTCAAGAGGGAAAAAATGGTGTTTGATTGAGAAAAGAGAAAAAGAAAGTTTTTAGTTATGAGATAAAAAAATACGCTTAAAGTAGAGAAGCGATGTTATTATTTGATACTTCATGCGTTTCAAAAAGAATGACCTCCTTTACTTTTTAGTCTGTTTCAAAAAAAAATGACCTCTTTCTTTTTTTGTTAACATTTTAAAATCAGTTTTCCACGTGATATGTTTAAGGTCAGAAGATCAAAGAGCAATTTTGTACTTTTAAATCTAACTTTATTTAGGACCACAAGATAAAAAATCTCTTTTTGTACTCTTAAATTTCGTGTCAAGTCAAACTAGGTTATTTTTTGTGAAACGGAAGAGAGTAACTTATTAAATAAATCTGAATATTGTTAAGAGTCTCTTACAAATCTGATTCATTCAGACCTCTTCAGACCATTAAGAGATTTTTTAAAAAATAAAACAAATAAACTTAATGGGTTGAATCTAGATGATTTAGATTCAGACCTAAAAACTAAACATACTTAATATGTTGAATCCGAATAATTAAGATTCAGATCCAAATGAGACCTTAATCGGAAGGTGCTTATGATAATGGTGATTGGATGTGCGTCACGACAAAACAAAGAATAAAAAAAGATTTACATTTTATTCTTTTTAACCTATTCATAAAAATAAATATACATTATTCATATAATATCCATATATTATATAAGATGAAAATTTTTTAGCCTATAGTTTATTTGTCCCCACATTTAATGAAGTTTGGCCGTCAAAGTAGATATTAATTCAAAATATAGCAAAGATCTATTCTTCAAAAAATTCTAAATATAGTAACACAAGATAAAATTGTACTCCTTCACTTATTATTTTTTTCCTTTTCGGTATTAGATATCTGTACTAATATCGATTATATTTGAATTTGTAAAGAAAAATTTTATATTTGAGTGAAAAACTTGCTCGATATTAAATATCTATAGTAATATCTTATTATATTTGAAATCACGAAAGAAAATTTAACATTTGAGTGAAAAACTTTTTAACAAAGACGATTTCGTACTTAAAAATTACAATTTTTTCCTAACAAAACAAAAAAGAATAATATTTTCTTTATCAAAATTATGAAAAAATATATATATTTTTAATTAAAAAACATTCCACTTGTCTACCTGGTATCTACAGTTTAGTCCCACGTAAAATCTCCTCACAGTTTTCTCCGAATACAGACAGATACAGAAAGAAAGAAGGAAAAAGAGAGACCTTACACAATAAAAATCCCCCCATTTTTATTTGCTTTGGTCTCTCTTTTTCTTCTCTTTCTGTATAAAATTTTCTGCAAATTTCTGAAAAACCATCTTTTTTATTCAAGTAAGTTCATCTTTTCTTGAATCTGCCAAAAAATAATAATCTCGTTTTGATGGTTGTCTGATTTCAAGATTGGATTTTTATGAACTTTGTGGATTTCTTGTGTTTTGGAATTTTTATTACATGTGAGATGGATGAATCTGTTTGTGGGGTTGAATTTTTTTTTGGGTATTTTGTGATTGATGTAATGTTTGTTGATTTGCCAAGTATTGTGGAAATTGGAATTCAAGATTCTAGCTTTAACTCCTTTTTGGGGGTTTGAAGCTTTGTTAGTGTGGTTTCTCTTATTTTATGTTTTTAATTATAGTTTATAAAGGAAAAGTTTTGATTTTTGAGATTCTGCTGGTGTGCCTGTAATGCTATGTATTTTGTTAATGACTGTTTGAATCAGTTCTTGTCATTGGATTAGTAAATTTTGAGAGTGTGAAAAAAAATTAGAGTGGTTTAAGGTGTCAAATTTAGGCTTTGGTCCCGGAAGGACATGGTTTTAGATCCCACAGCTGTCATCAATAACAAGAAGACATATTGTAATCCCACAAGTAGGGTTTGGGGAGGGCGGTGTATGCACAGGTTTACCCCTACGACTGTCATCATTTGCAAAATTAATGTGCAGTTGTACAAAATTTGATATGATTAGAAATGATCACGTTTAGCTGAATATGCAAGTAGCAAACATAAAGAGTGAAATGAAAGAAGGTTATTTGAGATGATTAGTCATGTCCAACATCGACCTCTTAATGCATTGGTGTACAGTTGTGTAACTATAGTGATGGAATGTGCTAAAGGGGATAGGTAATCGTAAAAATAAGTAAATTTTGGTCTAATTTTTTTTGCTAGGAATCTGTGTGTTGTTAGAGATTTGTATGCTAGTAGGAAATGTAGAGAATCTAATTGTACATATCGAATTTCTTGGGTCTGAATGAAGTTCTATTATTGTGAGGAGACATATAATCGACCCTAACTAACTCGCGATAATGACATCATCATTGTTGTTATAATAAAATGAGCTAGAGTGGCCAAGGTCGTTTTTTCCTCCTTTAAGAGTGTCTGTTCGAGACTGGACTGATTAAAGGAGTACCCAAGAGCTGAATCTTTAGTCTCAAGATATCTCCTTTTGAGTGGAAGGATATATTCTAAGTACATAAGGAGTACGTTGATGCATGCATATCCGGTAGATTATCACAATTTATGGCAACAATGGTGAAACTAGAACTGAATTATGATTACAAATTATAAGGTAGAAATTTAGAGAGCGGTGGTGCTCATTCTTATATGAAGACATGATATATGAAATTAAAATAGGATGACTGAATGGAGGATTGCTACGGGAGTGTTATATGGTTAGATGATATCTACCGCAATGAAAGGCAAGTCCTATAGAATGTTGTGAACCCATGATGTTTTATAGGAGTTAACCACTAAAATATCCGTTGGACTATTGTTGTAAGGATTTGAATTTTAAGATGAATGGTTGAATGTGCAGTCAAAAGTATGATTTGACTAGTACCAAAGGTGCAGAAACCAGTAAAAATCTCCTTTTCTGCCTATATAGCAGTCGACAGCCCCATCGGAAGGGTTCGGTTGGAGGAGTAAGTTTGACCTTTGTTACAATTTTCACCTCTTAGACGCAAAATAGAGTCCATTTCAGGTATTCTTTTTGGATGGGTTCTAGCAATTTAGAGAATATCAAAAATAATTTCTTCTTGCTGATACATAATGATATGAAGCTATTCATTATTTCTATTGAAAACTATCTAAGGGGGCTGTGGTTGCAGTTTATGAGGCACACTAACATCAGCTCTTCTCTTTCTGATAAATGTCACATTTTTAAATTCTATATTTCAGGTTCAAAAGAGGTGCTTTAAATTGAACAAAGTGTTTTCTGTCAGATCCTTATTGTACTAGTTGTTCTGTCTCTATGTGGAAATCCATTTCAAATGTCATCACAAGCTTTGGCCAGAAGAAGGATTCTGCTACGCCCAGTCAAACTTGTCACGAGTACTCAGATGACGATGATATCCGCTCTAATGACAGCACTGAGGAAGGACTAGAATGCCCAATATGTTGGGAATCATTTAACATTGTTGAGAATGTTCCCTATGTATTGTGGTGTGGCCACTCTCTTTGTAAAAATTGTCTGTTGGGACTTAAATCGGCTTCCGTGAAGATATCCACCCAACAAATCCAGATTCCATTGTTCGTTTCCTGCCCATGGTGTAATGTGCTGACACTTCGATTGTTTTACCAGGGAAATCTCAAGTTTCCTAGCAAGAACTTCTTCCTCCTCTGGATGGTGGAGAGCAGAAATGGTGACAGGATGAAGTCTCCATCTGCCATATACATGGATCAATTAATGTGCTCCTCCCCTTGTACTTCAAATACCAGGAACGCGAGTTCTGTTACGAACTGCAGGAGGGCTCATCGTATAGGATCTTCGGGGTCTGGCACTAGTGGTCCTAATACAAATGATACCCCTACAATGCAAAGGACCCAGTTTTCTCTTCAGAAGTCCCTTGATTTCTTTTTCCTGTTGACATCCAAATTTCCGTTGGTTGTTGCACTTCTTCTGGTTGTTATATTTGTGATACCTTCCAGTGTGGGCATCTTGATTCTATACCTGGTGATCACAATTCTTTTTGGACTTCCATCTTTGCTAGTTATATACTTCGCTTATCCTGCTCTAGATTGGCTGGTGAGAGAGATTACTTCTTGAAGTATTTCTGTTCAATTTGTTTGAGGATTACTTTTTAGAGTTTCGAGGATGTAATACATAGTACTGTTTGCACTAGTAAACAATGTCTCATCAGTTTGATCTTAGTTTTCATATCAAGAGATGGTGTAAATAGTTGTTGGTTTTTGTGGAGGTTAAGGTTAATTTTCCTTCAAAGTTTGTATCTGCTATTGTTAATGGATGAATGATATCGCGGGGTTGCTCTTTCTACTATAACTGTATTGAGATAGATTTATTTCCCTCCGGAGAATTACAACTTGACATCACCATTGATTTGTGATGATGTTATGAAAGCTTATACACGGCGAATATTGTGCCCTAGTATATTTTCATGTTTCTCCAATAAATTTGGATCTACCAATTTACATTTTTTACAGATTTCTTATGAATGGTACTTTTAAAAGCATGAACAAGTTGATGGCATTTTTCCAGTGACTCTGATCTTATTTGCCTTCTCTAACACCTTTAGCTCTTCGTTCTTTCGATGTTGATCTGCTTGTTCTTTGGCCCCTCCTGCAATGCTTTCAATCCTTCCAACCTCATCGTTGAAATGTTTCCTGGCTTTTGCCCTACGCCTGTCTAATTCAGCCTGTAATTTCATTTTTTCATTTGATAATAGTTCAGCCTGTAATTTCATTCATTATGTAGTTGGTAAATAAATGAATACCAGAAGATCAACTATAAGAAAATTTTAAGATAGAATCAACCTCAACTTTCTCCAAGTTGCGCTTTGCTTTCTTCTTCTTCTTAGTCTCCCAGTCCACAATTTCATTTATGAGCTTCTTGTACCTGAAACTTCTCTTCTTAGTAAAAGGGCAACAAGTGGTTCATATAATAGAACAATGAAATGTTATTGTCAATATGCAGGTATATCACTTTCACTGTCCTTTTCGGAGAAAAAGGTATAAGTGAAGGTTTTCTAGTGTGATGTCAATGGCAAGGCATCAGTTTAGCAAGATACCTTATCCTGATTTTCTCCATTTCTTCTTTCTCCCAGATATCTGCCTGAGAATTTCCACTTGCAGGCTTTATTGTATTTGGCGCTTTAGCCATGCCTGGTTGTGAGGAAAGTTGCCTAGTTGGCTGAACAGCAGGAGCGGAAACAGGAACCTCAGGAGCCTTGGGAGGTCTGATATCGATGCTTTGGTCCGGAAATGTAGATGCTCTCTTCATGGATGGAGCTCTTTTGGCCTTTTCAGCAACTTCACTTTCAGGTTTGCTATCTCCAAATGTTGGCGTTTTCTTAATGGATGGAGCCTTTTTGGCCTTTTCAGCAACTTCGCTTTCAGGGGTGCTTTCTCCAAACGCTGGCATTCTCTTAATGGATGGAACTTTTTTGAGCTTTCCAACAACTTCACTTTCAGGTTTGGTATCTCCAAAAGTTGGTTTCTTCTTAATAGATGGCACAGATTTAACTGGCTCCGGATTGATTGTTGTTGACCCTATTGGCTCACTTTTATATGGAATTTTTGAACTTGATTTTGAAGCTTCATCTGTTACAAGTAAGACGAAAATGCGAAACATGTTAGGATGATAAATAAAATGACTATTGACTAGTCCTCATTATTTACTAAGAAATCCAACGGTTTGAACTATTTGTTGAACCTGTTTCTTGATTTTATTGTTTATTCATCTCGCAATTTAGTAATTCAATTATTCAATGTCTAAGTGGCCTTTGGATAGAAATCACGAAGATGTGTATTTGAGAGGAGAAGGGTCGGGTTTCCTACTCCCCGGGGGGGTAAAGTATTTTCATTTTGGACCAGTTGTAGGAGAGGAGGGATTTGAGCCCCTGACATCATGGTTTGCAACTACGTCCTCTAATCCTCATTCCATTTATAGCTTGTTTATTATGATTCTTAATTATGAACTTAGAAAGACGAGGAATCATCGGAAATTTCTTCCTACCTGAGAGCTTTTCAGGTTTCTTGGCAATATCCTCTCCTTTACTTTTGATCTTTGTCAAAGGTTTATCACCTCCACTATTTGTCCTTCTGTGGTCGTATTCACTCTTTTCTTCAATTGATGTTATAGCAAATGCAGCTGCTGCCACCGCAGCTGGATAATCAATGCTATCACTGGAATCATAATCACGACTCATTGTCCTTGGAAACTGTCTGTGCAACCAGCTAGGTATTCTTTTTGTTTCTGTCAAAAAAACAAAAACAAAAAAAATCTTTTAGGATGTTCTTGTTTTCCTATGATTTAGATTTCGAGTCTGAGTTACTACCTTTAAAAAGTTGAGTTTTCTGTGGTGGTATTGTTCTATCTCTGCTGCTGCCACCTCTCTCTTCTTCTCCTATACCGGTAAACTTCACCCTAGTACAGTTGGTGTTAATTGCAACACGATCAAAAAAGTTTTTCTTTATGATGCTAGAATTTGAATTGACGTTCATTACCTTATTTGCTTAAGCATATCCATTCTTTCTTTGTGTAATGGAGCCTTATATTAAAAAGCTATTTCAAAGATCAGATAAAAAGTTGAAACTTTTTTTTGGAGAAGCACAAGAAAAAAAGAAGCTTTTTTGTCAGGTATAAAAGCTTTGCTGCTTTTGAAGGAATTTTAATGATTAAGCTAAGGTATCTTTGCATGTAAGGCTTTGGTTTTGGATCTTCAAACAAAAGTTATCGAACATTCTTTTCTTGTGCTATAAATGCTTTGCTTTTTCTTGAAGAGATTCAAATTCCGTTTAAGAGTTGACGGTCATAAACACACCTAAAGTATCCCGGTTTTATGAGTTTCATACTTGAACTATCACCTGCTATTTATCAAAGCACATCTCAGCTCAGGTAGGATAGTTAGGTATGGAACTCGAAAAACCGCGATACTTTAGGTATGTCGAGAAAGCTGAAAAAGTAGGAATCTTGAGTTCTTTTCAGGTTTATATAGATTCAAATTCCTTAATCAGAAACCAACACAAGAAATAAAGACAGCAAAACTAACAATGTAATATAAAACAACTTTACTAAAACAATAAAATAAACTAAAGTTTAATCTGAAACTTCTCTAAACAAATAAGAAGGACCTAATGTACTTATCCATATCTAAAAATGTAAATTAATAGATTAAACTCTGTGAATTCTCTATGCACAAGCAGGAGCCTGGAAACCTCTCAGGGTAGCAAAGACGATAGATTGAGGAGCAACACTGATGGGCAACGTTGGATCAACGAGCTTAGGCTTCATTACCGGGATGTCCAATGAGGAAGTGAGCTTCAATGGAGTTCCATTTAGCAACAAGACATCACTCTGAATGTTTCCATCTTTTGGAGTCAAATGGTACTCTTCTCTTGGATGCATAGAATCAACACTATCAGGATTTGGATTTATATACTCAACCGATGCAACACCTTCAGCGTACATATTCAAGTCATCGACAACAGAGACATCAAAGGTAGTTGACTTATCCATGTTGATTAGTAGAACTGTAATACCCTGAAAGACCAACAAAAAAATTTCAGAAAAAGTGTATGCAGACCTAAGGTCTTACCGAGACTGTTTCCGAAAAAGACCATGGTAAAGTTGAAATCTTTGATAGTGTTGTTGTATCTTACACTTGTCTTTGAGCAATGTGCGTAAGTGCGGATGTAGGGAGAGCCTTCATGAGTAATAGAAAGCACATTCTTTCCCATAAGCTTATGCCATAGAAGAGCACTGCAGATATCATCAAGAAACTTGTAAGATACCTAAACTTTAGTGTGAAATAAGTAAATTTTAGATTATGAGAATCGCGTTTTAAGTACCCATAGTAATCTGGATTTGGGATGAAACTTGTTGTGTTGAGAAGACCATAGTTTCCTCCTATTAAAGATTGTCTGCAGTATACCTTATGGTTGAATGTTGATGTCATTCCCAATTGATCCAAGTACCTACAACAACACCAATACTAACATAAGACACATTTGTTGTACGTGTTATCACGTTTTATCAGGCTTGATATGAAGAGTTACCAGAAGCCGTTAACGAAGGTGTGTGAAGTGGTTTTGCCACCACTGTTATAAGCTCCACCAGATTCACCAACCCATGGTCCAGATGATGGTGAAAACAACTTAGCATCATTATCAACATTCTTAAATGTTTGAGCTATCTGACTTAGGAAAAATGGATTCTGAAGTTTGTCAATCAAAGTTGGATCAACACCTACAACGTGACAATACAAACATTCTTTTAACACGCCAGTTCGAATCCTGAATCTCTGGAATACAACAAACATACATTAGTATTACATACCTGCTCCAAGGTTGTAAATATGATGTGTCAATCCATCGACAACGCCCGGACCAGTTGTTTCAAGGAACTCTTGGAACCATTTTTGATCATAAAATCCACCAGGGGCCAAGATTTTTGGTCTATTAGCAGGATTAGGATACATATGTGTGACAAGTTTCTTCAATTTCTTAACATCATTACCATATTGATGAGCCTTTATTTTTGCAGCAACTCCACTTCCACAAAGCTCATTACCTAACAAAAATTAATGTTAGTATTTTTTTTTTATATGAACAAGTAAAGAAAAAACGATTTTTTTTGTTGTTTAGCGATAAAATTTATTTATTTTACCTAACTCATATGAGTCAATTTTGTATCCCTTATTGAGAGTGTATTTCATCAATGATTTTGCATTGTAGTGATTCCAATCTCCAACCCAAAGAGTTGTATCATTTTCATCCGATGGTATTCTTCCAATTAAAGCATTGAATGAAAATGTTATCGCGGCTCTACATAAATAATATCATGTTTGGTTAATCGTAAGTTAATGTTTATTACCAGATAAATAATTCATGCACAACTATGAATAGAATAAAATAAAATTAGGCCAAAAATGGAAAGCTTTGAAACAACATTAGTTTTTGTATGATTTATAGGTCACGGGTTTTGAACCCTACGTGAACACGAGATGCTTTTACTTACCCTGTTTTGTTGAACATGTCATGCAATTCATCCCATCTATTCATGTGAAGACATCCATCACTAAATCCAAAGAGTCCATCAGATTTTTTCTCAAAATTTGAGCAATTTTTGGGGTAATTTCCAACTTTGTAATAAACTTGATCTTGTAATGAACCTCCTATTCTGAGTCTTAGTGGATTAAATGCTGCAAAAAATTAAAAATTAGAAAATATTATTTAGAAGCAAAAAAGAAAAAAAAAGTATAAATATAACGTATATTTACCAACTTTTTTTTTAGAGAATAAAAACAAACAAGATTGGGCATGAAAAAGAACATCCAAGTTAAAGACAACTTTCCATAATTAAACTCTAATTAAAATTTTAAAAAAATATTATTTTGTTAAACCGTAATACATGAATTGATTTAAAATTTAAACTTGATGAAGTTCAAGATATAAGATACTTATTACTAAACTCATAGACCATAGTACAATTAAAATTATAACTTCATATCTAATATTCGTTAAAATATTAACGAATTGTCATACATAAAATCTATATTCACGTTAAAAAAAATAATTTAAATGAACATGATGGTTTGAAGGCTAGATTCTTGTTCAAAGAATAAAAATTTAATATTATTTTAAAATTATATCAACCTATATTAATAGATATCACATTTAAAAAAAAAAATATTTTTACGCCCACATAATAATAATAATAAAGAAATTAGAGCAACATATTACTAGTACTACTAACCTTTAACAGCGTTTGTAAGAATCCTGTTTTTCAAATCCTACATAATTCAAAAACATAAAATAAATTAAAATAAATCAATTAAAAAAAAAATAAATGTCGTATTTTTTTTCCTCCGGCATAACAACAACATAACCAGTATAGTCGCATACCTAAAGAGCGAGCTTGTTTTCAAGCTGACTCTTGATTCACAAGAAATAAATTTACATATGAACGAATTTACAAAACTTAGATAAATAATAAAAATCGAAAAATATTTACCAGATTAAGAATACCAGCTTTTCCCCATGGACATTGATTATAATCACATTTATTTTCTGGCCACCAATCTAATGTTGCACATATGAAATTATCATCTGTTTGAGCTATAGATGTAACTCCTTTCACCACAACTTTTAATTCATCTGAATTAGACAAATTAAATAAACATGATGAAACTAAAAAAAACAAACAAAAAAATCTACTTCTTCTTGAAACCATATTTTTATTTTTTATTGATCAATCAATAAAAATAAAAGAAGAATATAATAAAATTTTTGAAGTTTGATACGTTTATATAGAAAGAAAAAAAAAGACATAGTGGCTAAGGATTATGAATCCTAGATGACTACTAAAAAATTAAACTATGTACTAATTATACTATGATTCTAATTTAACAAAATAATAATTATTATTATTTTTATTTGAGATATTAAAAGTTTAAATTTCGAAAGGACTCAATATATAATAAAGGATAAATATCATCTTATTAGTACAAGTAGGAATTTGAGTTTATGTAATAATATACTGACAATGTAAAGAATTATTACACTTTTAATAATTTTGACGTGTAATAAAAGATAAATATTATTATGTATTATTATCGTAAGCTAAACAGTTAAAAGTAATAAATCGTTGTAGTATAATATAATAATAAAAGGGTAAGAAATTCTTACAATATTAATATATATTTTCTATTTAATGTCAATTTAGGTCACCGTATTATTATATTATTATATATTATACGTTTACTTGATGGTATAAAAAATATGTATATTGTGAAATTATAAAGTTGAAACCTACTTTAACTGTATTATATCTTTTAGAAATTTAACTTAATCCTTTGTGGTCTGATTTTCTTGCTTTATATTATTCAAATAAAAAAAAAGGTTTTATTTTGGGATTAATCAGTATTTAAGACATACACAACTCTATATATATAAAGTTATTTTTAATGAGGTTTTGTGAGAAAATAATTGGCATTCCTCAAAAATAAATTAAAAGATTATCTCAAATATAAATTTCTAACTAGACCAATTTTCGTATGGATGTGGATAATGTTTTTCTTTTTCAAAAAGAATTATTCAATTTTAAGTTGAATATCGAGAGTTTTTGGGATTTAAAAAACTTATATTTTCACAATTTTTACTTTAAAGTATCCACAAAAATTCAAAGATAATTTCAATTCGTATTTATGTTCAAATACAACTCAATTTTTCAAATACTATTTTCAACTAGAAAAAAGAAAAACTAAAATACTTCCTCTTTTTTGTTCCTTCAATTTTCATAATTTTTATGCCAAAACATGCACTAAACGTAATCTAAACTACTATATTTTAGATGACCACTTTATTGGATATTTTTGGGATAAATTGGGTACAAGAATTTTAGATTTCTAAAGTCATTAAATTCTAAATTAAGATTTTATATATATTCAATATTTTTTTAAAATATAAATATAAAGTTATTCAGTTCAACCAAATTCATAACTGAAATGCTAGCTCCACCCTAGTCACATGGCTAATGCTTCCTACGATTCTCAGAGCATGATAAAAGCTATTCATTATAATCATGAAAAGAAAAAAATGTTTCAGGTGAGTTAGGTCTTAATTGATCAGTAAGTTGAGGAGACAAAAACAATTTCAACTTGCTTCAATTAACTTTTTTATTGATTGATCATGATTTGATGATTTGATTGTTGAATTTAAAATGACGTTTCAAATAAACGAATCAAATTCACGCCTTAAAAGTAGCCAGGAGAGCCTCACACCATTGGACCATAGATCCTTGATGTGTTCAAAGTGTTCAATCTATTCAATTTAACCGTTACAATTAGCATTTTACTTTATATATATATATATATATATATATATATATATATGCATATTATAATTTTTTAACGAAAAATGTCTAGTTGAACACCCTCGGAACAAAGTAGCTCCACCACTGTCATCATCACAATCATTTTAGGACATTTATTCTATATTCATTGTTTCTTTATTTTTTAGTCAAATTGGAAAATAAATGAGTTTTTGTTTCTTATAATATACTTTTTTGGTTTTTTTTTATTTGGGAGAAGTGTGGGATGGTAGGTGGGGATGGTAAAAAAGAAGATAAGGTATTTTTTTTATAGAAGCTAAATGGAGATCGTAATTAGAATAAACTCGTTTATTATTGTATTAAAAATGATCTTTAAAGAAAATTAATTAATAATAATAATTTAATTACGATTATACAGTAAACTCTCTATATATTAATACTCAGTAAATTAATAATCTCTCTAAAAATAATATTTTTTTCGATCTTGACTTGGACCAATGGAAAAAATCATCAATTTCGATAAGATAATAAGATCATATATTTCCAGAAGACCCCTATATAAATACATGGTCCCATTAATATCATAAATTAATAATTCTTTAAAAGTGCAAATATATCTGAGATAATTTAGTAAAATATGATTTTATTGTGTTCTATTTTTTTCTTAAAATTTAAATCTAGCTGAAACTCATCTCTAACTTTTCTTATTATAAGAGCTCCGTGTTGTCAATTGTGAAGAGTTGTATATGTGATAATTGTTTCCTTACGTGTATTGGTTCCAAAGGTGTAGTATCATCTTCAACTTCTTCATCAACATATTTTTCGGTGGTATCCACAATTTCTTTTATGTTCTGGACCTCTTAACATGTTTCACTTTCATCCGGATAATCCAACAGGTTATTGACAAACATTTTGTTGTGGTAACCGAGATCATAAAATCAACTACCTCAAATTCATTAACGACGTTTCCACAAGTAGGTTCCCCGAACAAATTTAACAGTATCGAATACAATTTGCTATTATCTGTTGCCAAACATTTTTGTCCAAACATGGATTGCAAAATTGACAACATCCAAAACATTAAGCTTTACTGGGTCAATTTGTCTCACTTCATAGTCTTCTAATATCCTACGATAAAATTTGTTCGATAATATATCTTAAAAACTTTTATTATCCTAACATCACAATGTTGGAATTAGTAAGATACAATGATTTTGATATATTCGTTGTACATTATGTATAATAATTTTTTTATGTGAAATCAATAAATATGATAATAAATTAGTAAGATACAATGATTTTGATATATTCAAAATTAACCTTTTATTAAATCTCAAACCATTCTTTAAATTAAGAGAAAAGACATAAAGTCACCATTGAAATTGTCTTGGATTTTTAAAAAGACATCTTAACTTTCCATTTGTCCTATTACTCCACTAAACAATTTTGAACATATATTATTATACCATTTTTGATCAGTCCCAAATTTTAAGAAGAAGTGTGTTCACACACCAATCATAACATGACACAATTAAATTTAATTTAATTTTTCTTCTCTCTCTCTTACTTTTTGAATTTTAATTTTGATTTATCTTAAATTCATTTCATCTTCCATCTTTCACTCTCATTTTTTCTTCACCTCCCAGCCCTCATGTCAAATAAAATCTCTCATATTTTTTTCTGTTCTTTTTCTTCTTCTTTTCCGGTGAAATTCTTTATAGAATTTATGTTATTATTTAGACTTTACTAAATTATTGATAACAAAATTAGTTATTTTTCAAAAAAAAAATTAAAATTTTAAAGTATCATCAGCTGCTCATTTTCATATAAATTCAAAATTAGAAATCATAATTTTAAAAAATCAATTAATTCTCCAAAAATTGAAAGAACTTAATTTAAATCGGATAAAAAAACTATATGATACTACCCAATCATGTCACTAATTTATTTCATTTTCATATAACTTCAATACTAGAAATGATAATTTTGAAATAATCATAATTCTCAGGAAATTGAAAAACTTTAATTGAAATTTAGATTTTTTTTAAAAAACTAAAATAATACCTATTAATCATCTTGAAATCTAATGTATTTATCAAATTATTAAAATGTAATAAATTATTTAGATATAATTTTAAAATTGAAGAGAGTTAAATTAATAGTAGTAAAAAGGAAAGATATATAGAGTTGTGGTAAAAAGTGACATTTAAAGTGAGAAGCTTCAATGAAGATTAAATTGAATTTTTGAAGAAGAAGGAAGAAAGAAAAAGGAAAAATAATAAGGAGAAAAAGTTTAAATAATAAGAAAAAAATAAGAAAATGTATTTTACAGCAAAATACTTACAAAAATAAATTATATTCGTTTTTTTAGTTTGTTCATGCTCTTTAAGAGAGTGCATACACTCTCCATGCCAGGTGGACAAAAAATGATGTAATAATATCAATCCAGAATTGTTTAGGGGGGCAATAGGACGCTTGGTAGTTTAGGTGTCTTTTTGAAAATTCGAGACAACTTCAAGTGTCACTTTATATTTTTTCTCTTAAATTAATGAATATTAATTTATCGATTAAATAATATCTCTATAAAATGATAATATATCATGATCCTAACTAGTGACAATTATATTTTAGCACTCTATACATGCCGCTAAAGACCGAAAGCGTATAGACACTAGATTCAATAACAATTACTTAACTAATGATGATAAAGAATTTTACACTTTTATTAATATACATATTTACTTCCGCTAAAACTGTTTTAGTTATAATACGTAAATATTAGTTTCCCTTTAAAACAAAATTAGGAACAAATACTGTTTTTATTTCGGTTAGCGGTTATATCAACAAAATTTTATATTTTTTAGGATGAAAATTACGATATGACAAGTTTAATTATAAAAAAAATAGTTAAACATTAATTTAAAACGTGAACCAAATTTTAATTCTAAGTCACCATAAAATTGATCCATTAAATCAATGATCAAGTGATAAATGCATCAGGCAGATACACGGCTTGCATTTATGAGTTTAGAACACAAAGTATATTTTCTCTCTTCAACTTTATTTGTCACGTTTTATTTCTTAAGTAAAATAACTTATGAAATCAACAAAAATTATAATAGAATCATAAATATTTTATTTTTTATTTTTAATCAAATATCTAAAATTCAAACCCTTTTAAGTATGATTTCGCTTTCTTTATGAAACACTTTACCTATAATATAAAATTTTTCGATAAAACTTCAAAACTTTTTTTTTAATAAAAACATATGAAAACCAGAGTATAGATGTCTACATAAAAACCAAATCATAAATGTCAATACCTAGGAATCTCATGCAGTGCATGACTTCTTTTCACTGACACATTGATTAATTTCTCTATACATTTTGTTCTTTTTCTTCGTGCCACG